TAAAACATTGTGCTAAAAATATATGCCATACATCAACCCTCTGTCACAATTTTGTTATTTTTTTCGTTTTTGTCATGCAATCTATACAATCAATAAATCTAACTATTTTTTTTTTTTTTTTGTTATTTATACAATAAGTAATAATATTATATCAGACATATTAATTTCCAAATTTTGTGTGTTGTAATAAGTATAATTAGTATAGTAAATATTAAAACAACATTTTGAAAATTTTCATCTCAAATTTGAAAAATTTTTCTTTTACAGTATTATTAGTAAAATATCAATTTTTAAAAAGGCATTTAATATAAATAAAAATAACTTTTAACTCTTAGTTATGAAATTATGCTTTAAATTGAAATGTCATTTGATACAGTATATATAATGTTTTTTTATTTCTTTTAAGTTATAAACACATAACATTGTTATATCAAGTAATCATTAATAAATTTGGATGGTAGGAACATTTTATTTGTTTTTAAATACCTATGCATAAACATTCCATTCATGAGTATGATTGGGGAGAAATAGAGATTAGTAGTGGTGATCAAATAAACAAAAGTGAAATACTGCCAATTAATGCAATTTTGTCATATCGATGCCAGTTTTTTTCAATTTTCTTTCCTATTTTTGAAATATTTAATTGCTGTATCTTCTAGTATGTTTTCAAAGTGTTGTCTATGTTACTTAATACCGTCAGCTCTACATATAATTGTCCTTATTCCTTACAATTTGCAATTAATCAATTTTTTAACATGCTTTTTCTATTCTTATGCTTTAAATATTTTTATTTGTCTCCTTATTTTTTATAGTTAATTGCTATAAGTCTATTACATAATATCATAATACTCCCTTTCCCTCGTATATGATTTTTTTATTTCAGCTTATAAATATATTCTAATTGATATATGTTTTTAAGGTCCTCAGATGAAGTTGAAACTAAAAGAAAATTTTCCCAAATTTATGGAATGTCCAAATGGATGTGGCTATACTTACACAGTGGTTAGTAATTTCACAGAACACATGCAAAAATATTGTACTAAAAATAAATATTACACATGTCTTTATTGCAATGCTTCATTTCATTTGAACGATCAGTTGAAAAAACACTTACTAATGATACACAAATGTTTTTAAAAAATTTGTTGTTGACAACTACAATATAAATTTATAAATTTATAAATATGTTTAATTTTGTATACATTTTTTTTTTTTTTATGTTAATTTATGGTTTTAATATTGATATTTTAATATAAAACAACTTAATCATGGTTTTAAAATTAATTTTATATCATAAAATTAATTATTTTAATTGACAAATAAACATTATTTTTTATTTAGATTCAATTTATTTTTCATGAGGACTATGTATTTATTAAGCATACATGGATTAAAATAATATATTATATTTAAATGTTTAATATCTATGTAGAGATATAATTATCTTAAAACTCAAAGAAATAATATAATTTTTTACAAGTTTTACAAAGTATGTCAATTGAAATATCAAAATAAAAATTTCTAAATATTTTTTTTGGGGGGGGGGGGGGGGAAATGATAGTTTCAAAGTTGCTTTTCATCATTCTCCAATTCAATGTTAATATATAAGGAGATAGCTTTTATAGTAGAGAGTAGTTAATGTTACTGTAATTCAAAATTAATAACAAACTTTTAATTATGTATAAATATAATTTATTTAATAAGTTTACCATGTATTATTTATACCTTTTAGTTTAGCTTTTAATTTATTTTTAAATGTATTCTTTTAGAAATATTAATAATTAAAAAATGAATCATAATTTATACTTAAAAAAAGTTAATTATTTTTGTATAACATACTCATTATTAAAAATAAATTATTTTCAAGTATAATTTTTCTTTACTTGCTATTACTTTTTTTTTGTAGTTACACCATTACATTATATTATTGATATTAAATGTAATTAAGTGCTCTAAAGATTTTTAAACTAAAATTAAAATACAAATTGTCATTGCTTACAATTTTTAAATCTCAAATTGTTTAGTGTAGATATTCAATTTTATATGTACAATCGTCACTTTTTCAGTAATGATTGCAGTTATATTGCTGTGCATAAAAAATAAAGAACCAAATATATTTCTAAAGCCAAACATGATTTAAATTAAAATAAAGTTATAATAATGACTAGGCAGCACTGCCTGTCATTGTACCGTTTTCTTTGCAGCCTCTTTATATGTTTTCCAGTTTCAGTCTTTCTTCAGCCACTATGTCATTAACCATGATGTATATGCAGATTTACTTTTTTGTTTTCAATACTAAGAATAATGATGTATGAACTTTACCTGACATGAACTAGTTTGTTATTTTTGTATTTTATAAATTATTAGAAGCCAATAGTTGTATGTATACTGTATAGTATATTACTATTAGCTTTACTATTTGCTTCCTATATAATCAATAAAAACTATAAACAACAATAAATATACTATATAATACATATAATTGACTTGATTTCTTTAGTTGAGTGTTGTAAAGCGAGTATTAAATTTATTGCAGAGTTGTTAAACAATGACATTGATTTAACTGTCCTGCTTTCACTAATCTGTTTTAAAGTTTCATCTCTTTCATCTCGTTCCATAGCCTCCTTTTATGTCCCACAATCTACTACCAACTATATGGCTAATGAACCTTTAAAATGTCTGATGTCAATTGCCAATGTAGATCCTACCTTTAACAATTTGTTATTAATTTGATTGAAAAAATCTGTTTTATAAATTATTATTTAATGTATATCATATTATTATTGTTATCTTAAATAGTATATTTTCAAAAAAGACCAATCCTTATAATTAAATAAATAAATGAATAATTAAGTTTCCCTACCTAAAGAGTATCCGCAGATCACAATTTACATTATTGTTTTTTCATTTTTACATAGAATACTTTTAATGAAATTGCATGTACTTTCTTGTTAAATGTTGTTTGTATTAAAAGCTTAATTTTAAAAAACAAAAAAAAAAAAATTAACTAACAATTATTTTTAATATTACAGAAATTTATATGAATAAAAATGGACGCAGTGTCTGTCCGAATTTATGTGGTCGAAGTTTTAAGCATTCAGTGAATTTGAAGTATCACTGGCGTAATGAATGCGGTGTAAGATTCAATTGCTCCCTTTGTGATAAAACATATAATCAAAAGACACATCTTAAACGGCATTCAGCATTAATTCATGGAGTAATACCAATTTAATTATTTTCATTAATTTGTGATTCTTATTTAAATGAATACATTTATATTTACCCTTGAATAGTTTTTAGAAATTTTGTATAATTCATTACATAATAATAAGAGAAATGTTTCAATCATTGGTATAATTTTGTATCTTGCTATTGTGTCTAGATAGTTGATAGAATTTTTACAGAATTCACTAATAAAAATATTAAATTTTTTAATGTCCAATAAAAATTAAATTATTTAAATATCTTCCATTATCATGCTTCTGGTTGTAGCTTATTCCTTTTGCCAAAGCTTTTATTTTTGTAGCTATAAATCCTATGTATTACCTTTTAGTCTTTTTTTTTTATTATCATGATATCAATTAATAAATTACTAAGATGAAGTTATATTATTAAAATTGTATAAACATTAAGCAAAAATTATATATAATACTAATAGGGATTATAATATGTTTTAATGTATTAAAATAATTAATTGAATTTGAAGTGGAATTACTTTTTTGGTGAGTTTTTTAATTAAATTTATTATGTCTTATAATAAATTAAATGTGTTTTAAAAGTATAAATAAAAGTTGTGTATACATGACTTAACATTATTATTTATTATACCTATTGGCTATTCTTATCTAATGCTTTGTCCCTGATACAACCTTCGCTTACTGAAGGAGCATAACTAAATTAGTGAAATTAATAAATAATTATTCTATACTTAAAATTATTATTAAATTAAATATATTTTCAGATTTCAAAGACGACGGTCACAGTATGGCTTTATTGAAATTTAAGTGTCCAAACGAAAATTGTGGTAAAAGCTACAAGTATAAACCTGACTTGAATCGACACATAAAATCATATTGTGGCAAAGAACCAAACTATGTTTGTCACTATTGTTATAAACGGTTTATGAGAAAAGATGTATGGAAAAATCATTTGGCATTTGTTCATAAGAGTTTTGTGATTTAAGTTTTCTTTCTTTTTATAAATTTATGAATATTTTAGTATAGTATCACTAAAGATCTATACAAATATTGTATGTGTATAAATTTGAATTTAATGATTTGAAACTCAAAAATATATTGCTTTACCTTTAATTATATTGTTATAAATTGTTAAATACTATTGTTTTTAATAATTATATTATACAATTGCCTAATCATTTTCTCTTAAGCAAAATTATTTTCTCAAGTTTCAAAATAATTATTTTTATATACTTACTATATTTCAGTCTTAACTAAAAGAAAACAATAATTTTTGATAATACCTATGAAAGCAATTAATTTTCATAAACTTTATTTATCTCAAAATAAATCACTCGTTAACAAAATTGAATTGTAGGATCATGAATTTTATAACAGGTTTATTTCATAAAAATTTATTATGTATTCAGATACTTAAAGTTTGCCAGAAACTAATATTTTAAATATATAATTTCTTTGTAACCACAAAACATCTGCTATTATTTAAACATTTTTTTTTTTTTTTTTTTTTTTATTATCCAATATATTAAAATATATCTATTCCAACTTTATTCATAAATGTATTTGTACGTACTTAATTTAATAAATGACAAAAAATTAACTTATCTTTTTATAAATATTTTTATAACTAAACATGAATGTATATATATATATATATATATCATTTAAAATACGATCTTAATTTATTGTATTGCGATTGTGTATGTTTCCTTATTGTATGATAATAAAATTAATTTACAATTAGTGATGTTTATTTAAATGCAACAATTAAAATACTATTATATACAAATTAAATATTACATCACATTCCGTGCTGAGGTAAGTGATACCACTATATGAGATTTATAGGTATTTAACCCATAGATAATATATAAGCTGTATAATGTATATTATATATTAATATTGTATTTCCACTGTATTTTGAATAGTATGTATTTTGCAATTATCAAGTTCTCCATTTTTATTTTTATTTAAAACATTTTTACTATATTTTATTTAAGTTGTAACCTCATTTACCACCCTACCATAAGCTATGCTTAAGGAGGTAAATTAATCAATAATTCTTACTTTTAATTTTTATAATTAAGTAAATTTTGCTTTTTTTCAAATGTTTTATTTATAACAACTTGTAAAGAAATTACCCATATGATACATTAATAATGCAAAGACTTTAGGTATTTCCCATCTTCAACAACTTAAACACCCATTTCTACAATATTATTTTTCTTTACAGATAAAAATATACATTTTTTTCTTTTTTAAACCTCAATATGAGGAAAATATATATTTATAATTATATTAATAAATTATGTAATTTAATAAATATAATATTGAGGAAGAGTAGTGACATAATAAAGGGGACAGTCCTCTGGTATAGATCTGTAATTGAGTATTCATATCAAGTGATCAATTTTATTCTTTGCCGATATAAATAACTGTAATAATGTAATATTTAAAAATAATTTTTGAATACAAAACAAAATATGATATTACACAAATTTCCTCTTCCCAAATTAATTAATCAATGATTTTACTTTTTAGGCACCTGCTTAGTAGCCTAGTAATACCCAAAGGACCCTAGTAAGTACTTGTCCTTTCACAGTACTTATGTAAAGGACAAAATAATCAGGTTCATATTTATAAAAATGTATATAACAGTATGACATCATTGTCTATTTGACTATAGCAAGTATAAAATATCCTCATTATATAAATAATTATATTAGGTATTACATTTATTACTTATAATTGTGTTTTGTAGATACTTTATTGTTCGTTCATTACTGCATTGCTACCAATAATAATTTGACTAAAAATTAAAATCTTAATGATATTGATTATTGATATAATTATATTAATTTATACATTTTTATTGTTACCAGATAGGCGTTGGGTATGTTTGAATAATTGTGGACGTACATATTTAAACAAAAAGAGTCTTATCCGTCATTTGAGATATGAATGTGGTGTAAAACGACAATTTCAATGCTCTATGTGCTTCCAACAATTCAAACTTCAGTGTCATTTAAAAAAACATTTACGAAAATGTATGGCAAAAATTGATGCTATTAATCAGTGTGGAAAATTTCAGTATTTATAAAATGTATATTAATATTATATAAACAATAATCATACATTATACAGGTATAAACAAATCTATAAATCTAATAACATTTTTAAACATATTTTTGTTTTATTTTTTAAATTGAGTCTTTATTGTAATAGAACTAATTATTCATTTAATGTTATTACTTTTTACAGTTTTTTTGATTACCACTAGTTGACTTAGTTGAATCTATAAAATTATTATTTCATATGATAATGCTGTATGCTGCTGTTGTTACATTAAAATTAACCAGATAGATCACAAATTCAAAAATGTATTGGTTAGATTAGAATAACAGTTAGGTATAAGCTATTTACTTGTCAATAATGAATAATAATGAACAAAAATAACTAATAACTATACAATTTTCAATTTTTGTTACATATATCAATATTTACATTTTTTCAATAAATTTAAAGACATATTTTTTATACTTTATCATTACAGTAAAAATTTTTAGCTAAACTAGACTATAAAATAATATATTTTTTTAATTTAAAGTTATTTTCATTCCTTGATCATACACTGATTTTTTAGTATTTAATTACATACCAATTATAAAATAATTTATTATCAGCTTAAAAATTATATCTTACTTACATTTTTAAATACCTAATATAATATGTTCTATATTATAAATTAGAATGAACTTTTTTTCTTATAGCTTTATCTAATTATCATCTACAAACACTGAATTAATAGTTATTAATAGTTAGTGACATCCTCTTTAGGCGTGCAGATACAATATAATATATATTTTATAAAAATTTAAATATACACTCTTCTTTTTACTAATGTAGTGTACCTATAGATTTTTATTTAATTTATTATTAATAAAAATACTTTATATTTTATATGTAATGTGTATGATTAGTGTATTTATTATCATTATGAAGAACAATGTTGCTATCTACATGTTCATAAAAGCTATTACAAAAATATTATGTACTTTCAATACAACAATGTATTCAATTATTAAGTATCTAAAATTTTAATATTATTTATTTGAATTTCTATTAAATGTCATTTTGATTTAGGTATGTAATTACATTACTGTACTTTTTTTTTTGTCATTTATTTTTTATTTACAGGTAATTACTATTTATTCAATATTAACGAACAATACATTGCCTATATTTCTTTTACACTTATAAATATAAATATTTGTTTTATAGACTATGTATAACAATAATGAAAAAAATGAAAAATTTTAGTTTATGTAAATATTTGTGGGACTAATAATTAGATTATAATAACACTAATGTGTAAAATATTATACAGGTATTTTGACAAAATATATATAATTTATATTATATAGTCATCATAATTATTATAAACTATAAATTTCAATAAAATGTATAATGCATAGCTTCTTGCTTGATTCTTCTTAATTCATGCTCATATTTTCTCTATGCTACACTTGCTACAGTTTTGAATTGTGGATGCTTATAATGACTTGTGTCGTAGTGGTAGGTCATTATATATAGTTGTATCCTAAATATTATGTATACATTTTTTTACAATAATTAAAGAAATAACATATTTATCACTAATTAATAATTTATACGCACATGTTCCTTTCATAGTACTTTAAATTACAAATTAGTGATTGTAAAATTATATTTATTGTACCTATTTCATTTAATTAAATTAATTCTACTAATGTTAGTGTAATTTATATAATATTTAAAAGAAATATTGTTTTTTTAGGTATAACATCACGTCAAAAAGCTATTTTAATGAATACAAATAATTCTGAATCAAAAGTCCGTTTCTTTTGTTTAAATATGTGTGGTCGGAGCTATAAGAATAAACAGCATATGACCCGTCACATGACCAGTGAATGTGGCGTGCAACCAAAATTTCGATGTCAATACTGCAAGAAATGTTTCACACGAAAACAAACATTAAAGATACATTTAGTAGCTGTACATAACCGTTCGCCAGATGAAATCCTAGGAAACCCTCGTCACTGTTTAAATTGGACCACTGTTGATTAAATGTCATTATGTTTTATCTATATGTTTTTAATCTTTAATAATATTAAACAAACTAAAATTATAATATACACATATTATGTTATTTCACAAAATTATTATTTAATTTGTATAGTTATACACATTTATTTTATTTTTGGTTAAAGAATATGACAGTAAAAGAGGATTACCACATACCCACATTACTGAGACATTGTTTCATTCTTGATTGACATGTCATTACTTACTTAGGTTCTTAGTGTACTAACAAAAATAAACTTTTTAGAAATATTTAATACCTAATCTTAGTAATTATTATTGTACTTAATAATTGTTTGTTGTACGTGCTACATATTACACAATATACATCACTTACATGTATACAATATGGATCTTACAATTGATTGATGATTATACAGAAAAATCTCTACACCGTCATCAGTAACCTTTCATTGTGCAAATAATGGTTAGTGAACTCAATATTATATAGAAACTTGTTTAATGCATGAGCTATATTTTATTTTTAAATGAAAAATATAAGATTGATAGGTACTTAGTTCATATTTTTATTTTTTTATCAGTACCAACTATCAATCTTCAATAACCTATACCAAATTAAAATAATTAAATAAATGTAGAACAAATTTAAATCTATCTTCAAAATAATAAATGAAGAGAGTAAATTTGTATTTTTTGGATTTGTAATTCACACTGGTAATGCCTATGCGTGTTGTCTTATTTGTTTACAGCTACTGGCTACTACTTATTACAGCAGTAATCAGTAGACAGTTGCAGTGTAGACAGTGTAGTATCAATATACTATTAACAATAAAAGATACTAGATAGTAGATAGATATTCTATTTAGTGCATAGACATTAATTATTTACTTCACTTTATTTGCTTATCACATTTGTTTAAAGATGACTAGATATAATTAAAACAGAATTTATATTTTTTATAATTTACAACCATTGTCATTTGCTCTTATTGATACCTATTAGACATTTTAAATTGAATTCTTAGTCAAAACTATCTTGCAAGATATCTGATACTCAATTGATTATCAATAATCAATCAAGTCAGAAAACTGTAAACAAGTACCTTATTTAAAATTACAAATTCACTAATTGGTAGTCGAGTATAGTATTAAATAAAATATAGTTGAAATAATCAAATAAAATATTAGAAGTTCAAAAATAATATAACTCTTTTATTGAAATACATTAAGTTCCATAATAATTATATGGATTTCTTTTCATACTGTAAAAAGACAGAAAGGAATCCATATAGTAGGTACAAAATTCTGGTAAATATGTGAAAAATAGTGTTAAATTAGTAATTCATGGCAGTTAAAATGTTGCACAAATGATCTAGTTAAAATCTAAAGATTATGCATGCCACTATATAGACCAGCTTGTAGATTTAAAAATGTATCTATTGTTAATAATAATTTATAAGATCATTATAAAATGTACTTAGGTACCTACCTATAAAAACTGTTTAATTACAATTGTTTTAAGAATTTATTTTATTTTTCAGGCATAGTTAAGATTTACTGTCCAAAATGTAACAATATATATGGAAGTAACAAAAGTTTGTTTATACATTTAATGTATGAATGTGCAAGTGATGAACCAAAATTTCAATGCAAAATTTGTTTAATAAAGTTTTCACAGTTGCATTTGCTCAAGTGTCATTTGTTATCTCAACATAAAGTTTTGTATACCTAATTTTGAAAAAGTATCAATAAAAATTATATCTCTTGTACCTTTATTATAATAGTATAATACATAGTATGAATACTAATTAAAATTTTAAAAGGACGTCTAATTCATTTTTTTTTCTGGTACCTGTTAAACATATTAACTCAAATAGATTATAATTATAAAGTATAGTATAAATTATTTTATTTTAGAGCAATATTAGAGATATTCAATTAAAAAATAACATCAATTAAGTTATGAATTGATAATATCTTAAGTAAAAATTTAAATTTATAATTTAATACAATATCAATCTATTAATCTTGTAGTTAAAGATAAAAAATACCTATATATTTTTATACAAAGTAACTTACCTTTAGATAAGTCAAATATATCTAGCAATAATTCTATATTAAAATTATTTATTGTTATATTAGTGTTTAGGTAATTGACATATGACCTAATTAAAATTGGCGTATTTACAAATTGGCTATGCTATAAATTTATAATAGTCACAGCCTACAATTCTTCTCTAGAAATTACGATATACGGAATACCTACTTTAAATAAACTTCATGTTTTTTTGATAATGTTGCTAATAAGTTTCTTCCTGATCATGTTACTCGTAATAATTATATTCATATCATTTATCAATTATCACATTAACTTATTGTTTTGTATTGCACTGATTGTAAATTTATATTTAAAAAAAAAGAAAAAATGTTTTTATTAATATTTCTTCTATGAACATTTGAATACAACAGCTGTGCAATGTGCGCTCATACACCAAATCTGAATATTAGGTACTTAGGTAGGTTATAGAACTACTGTACTAACCTAACCTTATTAGTACTTATAACCAGGCACGTATCGATTCGCCAGGATACTGGCAAAATCTCGGTAGGTCTTTTTAAAATCATAAGACCTGACCTAACCCCTTCAGTTAAGTACCTAACAGTCAGTTACCTCTTTCATTAAAATTCGGTAGTATATATTGTTTTATAAAATTATAATTAAGGGGAAATAACTATTCTCGTTAATTCTGATAATTCAAAATATGATGAATATCTCATAAGTGGATGTAAACTTACTTAAGTATTCATTGACTGGTAGATATTACAGATAATAATATAATAGGTATAGGTAGACATTTACGTACTACTTAGTATGAACAGTATTTGGTGTTTGCCGTTATAATTTGTGGTGTTTTGTTTAGTGTTTATACTTATTTTACTTAATTAAAAATGTATAATACGTTAATATTGAGCAAAAAATTATTTAACAAGTAAATAGTGTTTTTGACTTTCAGAAAAATTATAATTTGTATAGTTACCTATGTCGTAGTTACTACGGCGCTGTGTAACAAATAGATAGATAACTTTGCTGATGTTTTAAGAATAAATTATATAGGTACATGAGACTCTTTATTACTTAGTGAGTTCTAAAATTATTTCTCATTTTTTAGTAGAGAAAATGAATCCAATACGCACATGCCTGTCCGTATTAATTTTCTAAAAACTCAAGTATTTGATTACTTGTATACCTACCTATTATTAATTATAAATTAAACATTTTCCTACCAACTCATAACTTTTATAAAATCAAATTCCAGAAGCATTTTAACTTTAACCAATATAACTTAAATGTATTTAGACTATCTTGGAACTTATTTAAACATCATCAACTTACTGCTTATATTTTTTAGGTGTACCTACCTATATATATTACGTTTATCATGAAATCTACAAAAATTTTACAAAATTTAGATACTCATTTAATTAATTTCAATATTTTCGCTATTGATATAAACATAAATATTTACCAAGTATGGTATAGGTTAGGTAAGATAGTTTTACCTATACATTATTATTAACGAATAATAACTTTATAACATGTTAATTTAGGTCAGTTTTCCAAACCATGAATAGTTGTATTTTCACAAGGAATAGTCATAGCTACAAATCACAGAGACAGAGCTATGTGCTACAAACACAAATATTCATTATCAACATTATCTGAAGCAATATACAATAAATTGTGATAACGTTCTAATTTTCCATCCAAATTTAATTGTCTATTTTGAAATAAATTTTTCAAGAAAAAAAGGGCGGTTTGCGTTTGGACGAATTACCTTTTTACCCGCATAAAAATAGTAATGTGTTTGGGCAAGTTTCTTATAGTGTGTTTGAGCGAGACAATATAAAAGATAAAAATGTAAAGATTAAGATAACAATAATTATTATATAAAATCTATAGGGAATTTTAGATCAGCCTAAATATGGCACAGTCTTATATGCAGGTCGGGCAACTAGTAGAGCTCTATCATATTTTTAAATATCAGTTTGCTTGAACATTGAAAACGTGAAGTTATATATTATAGTGTTAGTGAGCTTATGTCAAATATGGATCTTAAAATTAATTATATTTTTAATACAAAACGAAATTCAAGTAGAAACTAACACAAAATGCAATGCTATAAATAAAAATATCTACAATATTCGACGAAAAGTCATATTAGAAAAACAAGAATATGTAAAAACAAGCTGAAATAAGTATATATCAGGTGAAATTAAGATTTTAGAGTATATACAACGTATGGGGGTAAAATTTCCAGGAAAAAAATTTAAATTTTCATTATATTTTAACTCAACTTTTAATATTATTTCACTTACATATTTTTTAATTTTAATAATATTTTAACACAATTCATAACATCAATTTTTAATTATACCTGTGGAATTCACGGACAGTCTCAAGTCTGTCTAAATGAGAGGGAAAATTGATTGGTAAAATACAGCATCCCAGTAGATATATTCAGTGTTTGATTTGGAAAAATAATAGAAGGGGGACTCATCGGATGTTTGATAAACGAGCGTTCCACACAAAATTAACCGTCACATTATCGTGGGGACAAATAGAAGGGGTACGCTAAAAAAAAATTAAAAAAGAAGGGGGACTCCCCCCCCCCCCCCCCCCCCCCAAATCAAGCACTGGGTATATTGAAAAAAAAATTCACCCAAACGCATGACGCCCGAAAATAATGCAACATATACATGGAATGAGTATACAATTACACAGAAATCACAAAGTCGTCTATTGGCATCTATATTATATTTAATATATATAATAATAATATTTAATATAATATAGATAGTACAGGAATGATCAACGAAAGATTCCTACTATTTATTTATAACTACAAGAGCCTACTTAAAGTTTAATCCATATACATATAAAATGTAGGTTATAAGTCCTTATGAGAGAATAAAATATATTTTATAAATTTTTACTATACATAAAAAATTTATAATTTATAGAATAAAAAAAATTTATATTGCATTAACCTAATTTAAATATATCGTGTATTTATTGTATGCCTACAGCGGTTCACTACAGCGTGCCTACAGGTTTAATAATTGTATGATGTTTGTATGTTTAAACTACAATATTAACGTATTACCTACACGGCTATATCGATTGATGTTCTTATATAAAATATGGTTGCATGTAAATACTTTTTTAGTGTCCTATAATCTATTCATAGTAATTAATTATCATTACACCTAACCAAATCTTTAATGGTAATTAGTAATTACCTAATATTTAGATTGTATATATATGTCGTTAATAGATTTTATTTTCAAATTATTATTGAGTTGTTTTGGGTTTATTTTTTATTTCAATATTTTTATACGATTATAATCAATACAATTATTTATGTAATTAATACAATTTATAATAATCAAGTTATTTAAAACAATTACATTTTAATGAAACAAGATCGTTTAACATAGATATCTTTTGGTTAAAAAAAAAATTATCTGAGCTTCTAGAACTTTGTAGTTCATACCTATTTTATTTACTTGCATAAGCCATAAATATAAATAAAAAGTACCTACTTTATAACCTCTTGCTTGATTTAAAGTCATTATTTCATAATATTATAACCATTAACTGTTGTAATGATGCATTTATTTTTTAACTTTAATAGGTACTAACTAGTAATTACCTACTAATACATCATTGAATAATTAATGTCAATAAGTAAATTCACTTTTGATATACTTATTGTTTATACATATTAATATATTACATTATGTCATATTTATATTTAAACGAATAATTGCATAATGTGTTGATTTAGGTCAGTTTTTCAATCATGAATGGCCATGCCCACACAATTGCGGACGTAGCTATAAACATAAACATACATTATCCAAACATTTGAAATACGAATGTGGAGTACAACCACAATTCACTTGCAAAAATTGCGCCCGTACATTCAAACGCAAACATCATCTGAAGAAACATACAATGAGTTGTGATAACGTTCCACCAGAATTTAGTTGCCCATTTTGTAATAGACTCTTCAGAGAAAAGTGGAATTTGAAATTACATTTGGGATGTGTACACAAAGTCGTTAACATAATATAACATAAGTATAGGAGTAATATATGGCGTACCTACTACAAGAATCAAATTAGAGTGCAGTCCATACATATATAACACAAAACTTAATAATACCTATATAAAAATAAAATTCTTTGTAAACATTTGTTATACCTCAAAAATTAATAATAAGTAATTAATTTTAGTATAAATATTTAATTGCATGAACCTATCATGAGTATATCATGATATTATTGTATGATAATTTTAGTACAACAGTAAATACTTCTGTATAATATTTAAAGGTACCTACCTACATACTCAGTTGTTGACTAATATATTATATTACTATATTAGCTATACCTATTTGTAAAGTGTTATAAACTCAGCAATTATTGACAACTAAATGTTAATACTTTTATAATTCTGTACATATAGTTATTAATTATTTTTATGTCTAACATAATCTTTAGTACCTAGTTATTACCTAATGTACATGTCCTAATGAACCTATTGTCAATGAATTTTATTTTAA